TCAGTTCTAGGAAATGGGTGTTGCCTATTTAATATCACGCGAGTAACACTTTATAGAGAGGTGCTCATGCTCATTGCGAGACATAACCACCTCGGCGAACGACGGCATCAAATCACCAATCTAATACACATAAGTTGCAGTACATTTTGTAAAAAATTCGAGAAAAAAAGTGATTGCGGAGATAATTAAAATAAGATAAGAAAATAATGCAGCTAATAAGAAAATAATGCTAATGCTAATAAGATAAGAAAATAATGCAGCTAATAAGAAAATAATGCTAATGCTAATAAGATAAGAAAATATGCTGCTGCCTGAACTGATGCAAATTGTAGCAATGATCGATTATGCGTTAGTAGACGCTCAAACATATCAAACAGTGAGAAATATGATCAATGAAGATAAAAATGACATCCAAAAATCTTCGTCAATTCGTTGGACAAGTTTTCAATCTAATGAAGAGAAGCATCAACACCGGCGGAAATAATAATTGGTTAAAGTTGCATGTATTTGATAATCAACATTACCAAAGTATTGAACTTCCGGCTCCCACTTGTGATCATTATGACGAAATTTTCGGTTATTATGTCAGATCTATAACTGCAATAAAATCATTTATTGCATTATATAAATATACGTAGAAAAACTGGTGAAGAGATAATAACCTCTTTCCAAAAGCTTTTCACTGAACGAATTTCCTGAAAAATTCAAACAGACAAAGGTCTAGAGTTCATTAACAAGCTAAAACAATAGTTATCCAAAAAGTTTGAAATTCAATGGTTTGCAACTGAAAATGAAACTAAAGCTCAAGTTGTTGAGAGATTTAACCGAACTCTCCAGACAAAACTGTGGAAATATTTCACGTACGCCAAGACAAAAAAGTATGTCTATTTTTTACCAGATTTAGTTGATAATTATAACAATAGTTATTATAGATCAATAAAAATGACTCCTCGCGAAACTTCAATGGAACAGAACAGTAAAATAGTCATCATCAAGTTGAATTATCAAAATATAGTAGCGATGTTTATGAAATTGATAAAATTTAAAAAAAAGGGAAAATTGTTAGTTAAATGGAAGGGATATGATGACCCATCTCGATATTGCAGAAGCTGAACTAACATCAAGTTGAACTGAATTTAAGTTAACCACACATTAAGTTCAAATGAACAAACATTGAGTTCAAAATGAACAGACATTGAGTTCAAGTTGTTTGAGATATTTTACTTAATAATGTGACGTGAATTGATATAAAACAAAACAAGATTTGATAAAATTAAAGAGTGACTTAAGAAAACAAGTCACACAAGGAAAATTTGCGGAACAAGATTTCTACAATGATGCTAAAAAAGTATATAAGCCTCTAATTGAACCGTTCACCAAATGCTAGACAGCTAGAAGAAACTAAGCAAAAATGATTAGCTCTGAAAGATGCTCCCAGAGAACTATTAACAATCGAATCTGCTAAAAGATTGGCATTAAATCCACCAGAATAAAAAGGACTAGCTAGTTCAATAGCAGAATTTTTTTTTTAAATCTAGCGTTCAAACCTGGATCTGAGTATGATAAAGCTTATGACATAAAATTTGATATGAAAAACGTTATGCTAGGAGATACAATATTTGTCAGCATCTAAGGTAATGATTTAGGAATTGGTAATGAAGTTTTTGAAGGAACTGGGAGCTACTAACAAAACAATCCCCTGAAAACTATGAAGAAAATGATATGGCAAATTATCTAACGATTTTGAGACAGACTAAGGCTCATCTCAAGCCGGATGGAACAATAAAAGCAAACAAAGGAGAGAAGTACAACAAATTCTTCAAATCACTCTATAAAGCTATGCAGAAATAAAATGAACGTTATGAAGTTACTAGAATAAGAGCTGCGCATCGCTCATCGTCTAGGGATCGAGCTCCGGAATCAATACCAGATACTGATTCAGATGTTTCAGGATCAGGAATAATAGTTATACCTTCTAACGTCAATGATACTGTTGCAAGACATCAATTGTTATTTGGCTTCATAAACGAAATTTATTTATTGATCGTGATGTTAAACTATTGAATGATTTTTGTTTAAGAAAATGGAATCACAAAAATTAGTAATTACCGGTGGAAACGGTGATATATGACACGAATTTCACGCCAGCAATAAAATGGGATACAAACAAATTTCATGAATGGCATTGGTGGGACTAGATATGTATCACTCCATCCCGAATATCGATGAGACAAATAATATAATATTATATTATTTGACCCATATAATATGTATAATATAATATAATGTATATATCTGTATAATATTTCTGTTGGGAAAAATGGTATAGTAATCCCTATAACTATACCGACCAGATGCTGTGAGAGAGAAAGTATCGATAAGTATATCAAAAATGCATACGGAAACGAGGACTCGATTGATATAAGATCGAACACCAATACTCTGAAATGCGTTATAACTATTCGTGATCCTGACTTGAAAATTTATTTCAACAAACCCAACATTCTACATACTCTGTTAGGCTTTGAAAATGGAGTGTTGGAAAGTGTTGTAGAACATGAAGGCACAAATATAGTAAATATAATGTCTGTTAATGCAATACTTGTTCACTGCAGTATAATCAAAGGATCGTATCTCAATGATGATTTTCACAATATCGTGTATACATTTTTTCCCAACGTTCCCCCAGGATATACAATTGTGGAAAACCCTAGTCAACCAATTCATCTAACCCGTAAATCAACCTTCAGTTCATAATTTCCGAATTAGGTTAAAAGGTCAAAATGGAAATCTCTTGAACACCAAATATGAAGAAATAACAGTACGATTGCATTTAAGGTCGAAAAATTTAATTATTTTAGAAAATATTGTTTATAAAATGGAAAACTTACAGTGGAACGAAACTATTCAAATTGATGAATCAATTCATAAAGTTGAAACTCATGATTATGAGCCTCAAATTAGACTGATTTAAATCGTGTACACAATGAAAGCAAGATTATTATTCAGAATCAAGATCCGTTTCTACTACCATCAGACAGTTGCCTGTACATCGAAAGGACTTTAACGAAAAAGGATGATATTAATTATAACTTCAAAGGTGATAAAATGTCAGTTCTCGATAATGGTCTGATGTTTTGATTCGATCGAGTATCGTATAGAATTGGGAATGAGGAAATTGAGGGCTATAGTTATCCTGTAATTGTCACAACTCTGATAAGATTGACAACATAGCAACGAAGCACCGAAGAAAGTATAATGTTCTTCTGGATTATTGTTCTGCTACTTACAAATTTTTTTTTGTTACTCACTGCTACTTACAAAAGTTTTCATTGTTACTAACTGCTGTAGCGGGAAACTACTACATCTAAACCTTTCAAGTTCTCTGCCAGCGGGCCCTACGGTTCGTGGAAGGTTGAAACAACTAAGGATGAAGTTCAGGCCAATGTTTACTCAAGAGATTTGCAGTAATTACTTGAAAGCGCAAAATACAATTACACTTGAGAGGTCCAGATGACGAAGAACGTTAATACAGCAGAGATAGGCACAACAATGGGAATGATAAAGTCGCTGCCTACTAGGGTCAGACTACATCCGCACACAGTTCCGCTTGTACATTTTACTCGGCACTCTTCTTTCGAGGAGTGCGGCGGCTTGAAACCTAGTACACAAAACGAGACCAATATCTTGCCCGCTACACTGCTACTTACAGAAACTCTTATTGTTACTTACTGCTACTTGCAAAAATTCTTATTGTTGCTCACTGCTACTTTCGAAATTTTGATGGTTACTTACTACAACTTAAAAAGTCCTTATTGTTACATACTTCTACTTACAAAAGTTCTTATTGTTACTCACTGCTACTTACAGAAGTTTTTTATGGCTACTTACTGCTAAAAAGAAAAAACTTCCAAAAATCTTACTGTTACTCACTGCTACTTACAAAAGTTTTTATGGTTACATACAGCTACTTAAACATTTTTATTGTTACTTGCTGATACTTACAACAGTTCTTATTGTTACTTAATGTTACCTAAAAAATATTTCTCGCTAAGAGCCTGTATTATAAATAGAAACAGCATAAAAATGCAAAGGTCTAATAAGGTTGTGTATACATAAAGACACATTCCATTGTTCTCAATAAATCGTATTTTATTATTTTCCTTCCATTAGGTATANTTATTAGGAAATTTTTACGTAAGTGAATTACCGTCATTTCAACTAGATTATCGTTTGCACGCGCATTAAAATCATACATCGCTTTGCTTGCAGTCATATAAGGCAATTAATGGTCTAGACATCTATGCCGTTTGAGCTTTCATTTCAACTTCAGCAGCCAATAAGAGAACCCGAGAGTGTTCGTGGAATTTGCTTTAATTTTAAAGAGTTCGCATGCTATGATGTGGTGGTTGTCATGTCACATGAATAGGTAACAAAAAGAACTAGATACGCTTTAATCATTATTTTTATTTTAAATGCTGTAAATTGCTCATTATGAAATAAAATAAATAAATAACATTTAAAAACCACGTTTTCTTAACGGACAAAAAAGAAAAACATTAACTCTTACATAACATTTAACTTATGTAGAACGTTATGTAAGACTTAATGTTTTTCTTTTTTCTCCGTTAAGAAAACGTGTTGTGTAGAAGTTTTTTATTTGTTTTATTTCATTGTTTTTAGTTTTGTAACCACCAAAAAAACGTGGTTTTTAAAAAATGTTTTTTAATATTTATTTATTTTCTACTTTTTAGTTTAACAGTTTTAGCAATTCAAGTCATTTTCCAGGGTTGGCAACTCTGGATGTTCGACAAAAAAGCTCGATTCCCAACCGTGAATTTTTAGTTTTTATTTTTATTTTTTTAATTTTTAAACTAATTACTTCTGATGATCAAAACTTGAATTATTAGGTAGCATAAGCATGCATGCCAAATTTAAAGTTTCTAGGATCTTCAGAAGTGCGCTTAATTAAAGTTTATATTTTTGATGACAGACAGACAAACACGAAGCGAAAATAAGAAAAACGTGGTAAAAACAATTAAAATTGAACAAGCTTGTTATGCATTACTCGATATATATTTTGTAACGTGTACCATGCTTATACTAGTATCATTCCTAACGACTTGCATTTGTGATTCTTACCCTTATGGTTTTAGTTATAATACGAAACGTCTCAGAAATTGTTTGTTATAAACTTTGAATAAAAACTCATTTCTTCACAAAGCGGTTATTAATCCACACAATTTCATAACAACACGATTCTGTTTTTCCATCGTACGTGAATAAGCAGAACCATAGAGGAGTGGGCTCACTGAATATCGGTGTGAAACCTAAACTTCGCAGCTTGTGGGCGAGCCTCCAGTACTTCTGCTTTGTCTCCGACATTTTAGTTATGAACATCACTGAAAAAAATCATGAAAGGCAAATCTCAGGCAACTCATTGTTTTAGCACACAATCAGAAATGAAGTATCCTCACTCTTTATACATGCTTTTTGAATAATAAATAATTGAATTTCATAGGGATAAAACTATGTATAATTGCATTAATTCTGAGAAACTTAATCCTTGATCCTATTATCAAATAGGCTATCAGTCAATAATTCACTGGTTTTTCCTTACAAATCAACTACTGACGGAAAATTAGTGGAAATCTTACAACTATATATAATTATGATATTTTGGTTCATACAAAGCAAGCTGTGAAAATAAAACTCACATGGATGTGGATGTAGTTCTATGCCGATCTGCTTGACTCTGAAGAGTAGTTCCGGGTCGTCGTAGAGCACGTTCTCTAGAAAGTCTATCTCGTGGCCCTCGATGTCAACCTTTAAGTAGTCGATGACTGAGTTCGTCTTGCCGATCTTTGCTAGGATGTCACGATAGGTGAGGACCTGCATGATCAATGAACAGACGATTAGCTAGCTCATCCTGTCGATCGTTGCTAGGATTTGAATGAACGCTTAAAGAGCTCGTCGTCTTACCGATCATTGCATGCCGTGATGTCGTGGTTAGTGTGAAGCTAATTAATTAGTAAAAAAGATTCAATTTTTTTACGAACTCGAATGCTTAGTTCTTGCTACACGATTCAAATAACAATTCAGATATCATACATTTTATAAAGGCTCCCGGTAACCAGAACTTTTACGTACTGTAAGAAGACCTGCTCGATCGCTAACAATAATATTCTTCTTTAGGCTTACAATAAAAAATTTTGAAGGCTCAAATGCTTTTCTTGTCATTTTAGAGTCTAATATTATTTTTTTGGGAAGGTTCAGATCATCATTTTAGAGCTATGAAAACGTTGCTTCTAAATTACACGTCCATTGTAGATCCATTTCGACTATAAATTCCGTCAATATCACACTTCCCATTGCTCAATTTGCTTTAATACCCTTTACGTAAAAAATCATAAGTTATGATATTTTAGTACACCTCTATGCATAAACATCTTTATTATCATTTGTATTATAAGTCGGTGGTAGCTCACCTTGCATTTGGAGAAGCCAATGGTGACTTCTTGGGTGACACTGCCGAGGCCCAGAGGGTAGAAGTGAACCCTCTTGCCTCGGATGTGCTCGGGGTCACTCATGGTGGGGTCGAAGGAGTACACCTAAGGTAGGAGGAAACAATTTAAGTTATGTTCACACAAACCTTCACAGCTTGATTTCAGACATACAAACCTTATATGGACAATTTTAAATTGGAACAGTAGTTGTTTTGTAATGTATAGCAGTTGTTAATTGAAACGGTAGTTGTTATGTGATGTAACAGTAGTTGTTTTGTAATGAACAGTAGTTGTTTTGTAAGTACTTCAACTTCATACATGCAGTGATTAATGTGCAAATGAGTCATTTATTTTCTGGAAACCACCGAAAACCCTACGTTGATGCAATTTTATTACGTTGATGCCCTAAGATATATATAGCCTTAGCAGCATAAACTACAGCAAAAGAAGAATAAGAGTTGATGTGTTGAGAAATTCTGATTTGATTGATATTTCTGATGATTATTTTTTTCTCTATATATAATGTTGAAGCTCTTTGACATAGTTAAAGCTTCTTCTGACTGCATTTAGATTTTTCATATTCAAGCTTTACAGCCAAAATGAAACATACAACTCATTGGCCATCATGAAAAACTCAAAATTTAAATGTAAAAACAGAGAAGTTGAAACCCATCAACCGCAGTTCTATTTCCCCGTCTTTGTTTTCTCAAATAAATTATCACGAAACTTACATCACAGCCGTACGCCTCCATGGCGTCGTCAAAGCTCCACTCGTTGTTGATGCCGAAGGAGAGGACGGTGCAGGAGCCTGGAGTGGGCGCGACGCCCTCGTCCAGACACACTTTATAATTTCCGTCATTTCCCAGCCAGAAATCATTCACGAGGCCCCCAAATTGTTTCTGGTGGAATATTGGTGCCAACCTTATAGAGTGAATTGGTTCCCAAGCCAAAAATAAATTATTTTCACTCTCTATTCAAAGATTAGGAAGACATTTGCAACAAATTTATGCCATTTGCACGAATTTTGCCGGCATAATTATAGAAACTTCCACTAATACAAGTCACTCAATGCCATGCAGTCGCGCAAGACGACGACAATTATTTTCTAGAGAATATCCCTCTCAGTTGTAACGCCGGCAAAACTCAACAAGATGGCCTGCCAGAAATAAACGTTACAAATGACAACATATTTCAATTTACGCCTGATACATAATGCCAAGTTTTAAGATTTACTGTTACGCCAGTGACCCGATTTTTTAATTTCAGACCCTCTTTCCAAAATGTATTTTTTCCGAGTTATTATTGCGTGCATGACAAGAATCACATGAACCTACAATACCAGATTCAGCTTCAGACAGGCAATGCATATTTCATGTAAAATCTTTTATAATGGCAATCACAAAGCAATATTCACCAAATTCCGACAGGCGTCGACGGTTTCTTTGATGTAAGCGTAGAAGTCCGACCAGCTCGGCTGAACATTTTCGTAATCCACGGTGTATTTACCGCCATCGCCTGAAACGTTCATCGCTCATCTGACATTCTTCATTCAAAATTTCCTGACATAAAATACTTGAAATTGCCTTACTGGAATGATCTGCTCAATTGCTTGCTGGAAATGTTCTGAGACGAGTATTTTTTACATATAAATGATATTGACTCACCTGGAATAGGTTGGAGGCTCTTTGAAGATAATACCGTGATGTTCCTGACACAGACAATAAGACGTTAGAATTTCGTGTAATAAGGAGCAATTATTTCTCCTTAAAAACAGTTTTATTTTCCATTATTCATATATATATCCATTGATGGAGTTTCAGATGATTTGAATTGTTCCTAAATAATATATTTCGTAAAAATTCATTTTTATAGCTTCTAACACTGTTTCATTAGTTTCTGTTAGCATCTCACAGAGACGAAGTGACAAGGAGGGACAGAAGAAAAGCAACAGAACACTCGAACAAGAAGTCGCTTACACGGGACGTCGGCCGCCCGCACGAGAGAGACAGAGAAGGGAAATGTAAGGAATCCTACCTACATAATAACTTAATGTAAGGAATCCTACCTACATAATAACTTAACCCCACAACTGAGACCTACAGTCAGACACCGCGAGCTGAGTGGTGGGGCGCTCAGGAACAATCCCCCTAGGAGAGCGAAATCCCATAGAACTTCTGACGCGCACAGACACGTCAGAAGTCCCCCCTGAGGGGTATTTACCAGTTCAAAAAAGTTTAAAATAAGCGATAATAATTTCAAGTTAATGTGGTATTCTATATGTGTTATTGGTATTCTATGTGTAATGTAATGTGGTATTCTATATAGTTAATGTGGTATTCTGTGAAAGTCAGGCCGAATCTTTAATTCTGCAGAATATGTTTGGTTTATTAGTCAAGTTATTTTCATATCATTTAAAATTCTTGGTAGCAGATAGTAATTTCAATGTTTATATTGTTTGAGTCCCTTAAGTAGCAAAATTTTACTGAATTCCTTAGCAAAACACGTTTCGTGAAATATTGAAATTCAGAACTAATTATTCGTCTGAACCTTCGACCGGTCAA